CTGGAAGCACCATCACTGAACAAGGAGCCTAAACCCATGTGGGGTGATACCTGCCCATGTCTTCACATCCATTTGCCCCCTTAAATCTCTCTCCATTGCTCAGCATCCCTCTCCACCCCAGAAATCCAGGATGGCAGAGGGCAATGTGCCCTCTCTACAGTCCAGCTTGGGCATAGCCCTATTTCCTGAGGAACTGATCATTCTTTCCTCAAATCCACCCTTAGACAGGTGGACCCTTCTGCTCCAAGGGTTCAGCTGTGCAGACAGTCCGGCATGGAAGGGAACCTGTAGCCACTGCTTGTCCCTATAGCTGGTTGGCTCCACCATGACGGAGTGACAACCATTAATTGTCAAATGCATCAAGGTTGGAGGGGGACTGAGGCACAGAGAGCTGTCATGGAGTCATGTCCCAGGGGGATATGGATGTCCAATTCACCATCTGCTTCTTGGAAGAAGAAAAAAGAGGATCCAGGAAATTCTAGATGAGTCAACCTGCTTCAGTACCCAGAAAACTGCTGGAAGAAATTACCACCAAGTGGCAAACACTGACAGGGCAGTGCTGGGGCTGAGAACACAGATTTAGCAGGAACTTGTGTCAAACCATCCTCATTTTCTCTTCATTAGGGTGACGGACCGGGTACCACAGGGAAAGCAGAAGTGATGCTATCTTTGTGCTGCCTTACATGACTTTCTTACAAGCAAATGAAGAAATGGGAAATTCTGCCACTGTGGGTGGATGGATTCTCAAGAAGCTCCCTCCCATGAGCAGTTATCAATAGCTCGTGCAGCAGACACATCCAACAGAGATTTTCTGGAGAACCCAGGCTCATATGAAAGCAAGATGCTATTGAAAGAGGGTGTAGGGGCTGTTTGAGTGGGGGGTTAGAAACTGAATTCTCCCTGATGACCTGGAGAAAGAGCAAAAATTTATTGAAAGAATGACTGATGGAAAAGAATTGGGTGTGTTCAACACAGGAAAAAATGAGGGAAGTCTTCAGAACAGAAAAAACCTCAGCATGAAGCTAGCAGTGAGAAGTGTTTAGGGTTCTGCCCTGTTGCTTAGATGTCAGTTCATCTGTCCTGTAAACCTTGATGTGCCCATGGACACAGCATCCCCCTTGCTGAGGGGATGTTCCTTTCTGCAGTCCTGCAGGGGGTCTGGGGCTGAATGCCCCTTTCTGCCCCTTCCAGGGACTGCTGGCAGGATGGAGCCACCAGGGAATGGGATGACCCATGCCAAAGGAAGGGATGGATGTCCCAGCAGGAATGGGGTACATGTGGGCCAGGGAAAGTCCTTATGGGCAATGCGGGCACTTTTTCCCTTGGCTGGAAGAGTGGAGAATGTGGAGGCTGACACATAGTGAGAGATGAAGAGGAGGAGAAAGAACTTTGGGAAATCTTCCTGTGAACACAGAGGCGGCTCACACAGGGGTGGGAGCTCAAGTCAAAAATAATTTTGTGCTGTGCAAAAACAGCAGGGAAATTACCACCCAGGCTGCACCTTGTGTGCTTCCTTCACGCATCCCACGGAGAAGCCATGGCCAGCATGCTGGAGTGAAGAGGATTGTCAGGGTCTGAGCCTGGCAAGGGCTGCCAGCCCAACGAGGTCATGCTGTGTGCAGGACAGAGCTTGTCCCCGCTCCCTGCTGAGGCCAGGCCGTGGGGAGATCCTGTAGGAGCAGCTTTTGTTTCCAGGCAGGTACTGATAAGCAGCAAGGTGCTTGGGCAGAGCCAGGAGGTGTGTGTGAAATGGAACAGGATGTCGAAGCAATTTCATCTCTGTGGGCTGTTCTAGGAAAGTCCCCTTAGTAAAAGCAACTCAAAAGCTTTAATAGAGGGACCAGCACTCGGCTGCCTCAGAGATGACTGTGAGGGCTCAGCACACACAAGTCAAATCATGTGGGTCATGATTTGACTTGTGTTGCCATGACGTAACAGGGCACTGGTTTCCATCACAGCCAGGTTTTGAAGGCAGGGACCTGTTCCCACACCAGGAACCAGGCATGTCACTGTATCCCCACTGAGCAGTGTGCCAGAGGGGCAGAGTTTTGGCCCCTGGGATGGGAAGTGTGTGGAGTGGTGCCTGTCCTGTGGGGAGAATGCCTTGTGTCAGCAGCCTTGAGGAGGAAGAGCTGGGCTGAAACTACAGATCCTTTTTTGGGTGAATATGAGAGTGTCAGGAGCTAGGGCTGTGTCCCCAGGGGGCTTCTCCTCCTCAAAATAGCTGGAGATGTTTAACATAGGCATGCCCTAGATGTAAAGGGAAGGTGTCAAAACCTTTAGGTCTTTCCTGCATTCAACCGTCCCCCAGGGTAAATCTTGGACAATAACACAGAAGGGGCCAAGTGGACAGACAGATGCTGCAGGGTGGGGGCTCCATCCTGGTCACCTGCCGTTGGCTGGGTCCCCATGCCATGCTTGGCCACGGTGCCAGCTGTGAGGCCAACCCTTTCCCTACTTAGCTCCCACCTTCTGCACCATGAGATCTGCAGCCCTGAAGACCCCTCTGTGGCAGGATACATGAAGGGGTCTTCTATAATGAACCTACAGACATGGGAACCCCAGGGAAAGGAATGAGAGGACGCCATAAAGATCTGCTGTTTTGTCTCTTCTTCCTCATGCACCAGCCCTGAGCCAGGGATGTTCCCCACCTCCCTTCTGTGAACATTGACAACACTGGTGGGATGATCCCTCCTTCACTGTCCTGCTTGTAGTTCACTGCCCAAGCAGGACACAATGAACCCATGACAAGGGTCTTGGTAAAGGGGGCGATTCAGGGTCTATCCATAGGTTAGGGCTTTCTTCATAAGCCTTGTCTTGGCTTCTCTGCTTCCAAGCACTTTCTGTCCTTCCAGTCCTGGTGATGGCATCCAGGTGTAACTGGAGTGGAAGAAACCACAAAGAAGGAACATGTGGAAGTTGAAGTTTTGCTCTGTGCTGGGATCTCCTGGAGCCTCCTGCCTCCGCTGTCACAGGAGGGGCAGTGCACCTTGTGAAGGTGTTATAGGGCTCTTGGTACAAAGTACTTACTGCCTTTTCCCTTCCAGCAGCAAAGGTCAGAGCCTCCCTGCCAGACTGTGGTTCCTGGGATTTACCTGCATGGAGTGCCTGGAGCTAAACCTGCCTTATCAAGATCTTTCTCAAACTAAAAGACCTGTTATCATTTGGCATCTTATCTAACCTGCTTTCCATCCTGCATTGCTCTCCATGGGAATTCCTGGGGAACCTCTGCACCCTGAGAGGCGTGAGCTGGGAGGCAAGGGCTGCAGGTAGCCCCAGCCCTGCTGTTTATACCTTGCCTGGGTGCTCTCAGCTCAGAGCACACCTCATCTCTTTTGGTTTTATGTACTATGCTGTCGTCCCCAATTTTCCACCCTGAAGTTTCATGTTAGGTGTTTTTCTGCTCAAATTGGCCGAAAATAGGTAAAAATAGCCCATGGTTGGTGGCAGCTATTGAGATAGATAAGGTTATCTGTAGCTTTATCAGCTGCTGAGTCCTGCATTTTCAATGGGTTTCACTTTCATTATTCCTAAACCGGGCAAATCTCTCTAAGTTCTCCCCACTGCTATGAATACGATGGGCGTGGGCAGCCCGGCAGAGGGTTTTGTTTCCAGTCTTTCTGCCTATGGACAGAGCAGCATTGTGGCTTTCCAAGGTCAGGGGTTCATGTACATATATTGAGGAAACCCACCTTGTCCTTACTTTAGGGGACATTTCACCTGGCCAAGACCTGGTGCAGTGTCAGCAGAGGCTGTTGACCCAGAGATTGGGATGGGGGGATGCTGCTCATACAGGAGCAAAGGTTCCCCTCTCCAAGCACAAAAACATTGTAAAAAGAGAAAAAGTATAGGGAGAAGGCAGTTGCCAAGCTTGACTTGCAATCTTGGTCGCTACCCCTTCCCCAGCTTCAAATGTGTCACGGTTTGACCCTGGTGCAATTCCAGTGCCCCCATGAAAATATATTCTCCCAGTGGCTGCTGTGAGATGTGACCGGAAATAGAGCAAAGCAGGCTTCAGCTTAGGAATAAAGGAAAAAACTTTATTGAGTTACAATATATAAAAAGGAAGACACACAGAACTCAGAATGAAAACCTTCCAAAACACTCCTTCTCCTCCCCCCAATTTCCACCACAGCACAATGAGATAAAACCTTAGATTCTCAATGCAGTCACCACCCCTCAGATAGTCAACTTTCAGTTCATCACCACTCTTCAGATAATCAACTCTCAGTTCATCAAGGAGAGAGGAGTCCCTCTTGTACCATAGGCTTCTCCAGGAAACACAGCTGAAACCTCTTGGGTTTCCATGTCTCTTGTGGCACCGCTTGGAGAACATCTGCCCTTCTGACCTCTTCCTTCCATGTCCAGTGCTCTCACCACTGCACATGGACCAGAGCTGCTTTTAGGGTTCCCCTTTTAAGGATGCTTTGCCCAGGTCCAAAAGAGCAACAGTCGCTCACTCTTGGGACACCAGTCCCCCCCAGATTCACCCCCTGGGGCTGTGAGGTCTCAAGAACAGAGTTCTTCTTCTTCACTGAAGTCAGAGGGCATCACCACACCCTCCTCAGCCGTCTCTGTTCATGCCACTGCTTCACACAACATCACCGCACTCTCCTGGCTCCAAGGCATTGCCTCCCCCTAAATGCAGTCTCTGTGTCACAGGAAAAATGGGTCTGTCCATGGCTATACAAGAAAAGAGTCCAGCCCAAGGCCACTCCATCATCTCCTCCTACCTAGGATTCTTCTCACCTTCTGCTGACATCTCTCACTTGCTCAGACCTTCACCACTCTTGCCCATTTCCTTCCACTTCATGTCTGTCTCTCTTCTAGGAGAGTTTAATGTTCAAAGTTTTCATTGTCCAAGAAAAGGGTTAAAATCTTGGACTCTGCCCTCCCAGAGCTTCGGCTGGGCAGGGCAGGTCTGACCTCTTTCACAACCGAACAAAGAGAGAGTTTCCCTGGGTGTTCTCTGCTTTTAACCTGCTGTGTTCTCAGAGGTGTATCCATGTCTCCAGTGGCCACACCAGGTGCCAATATTCAAATCTGAGCACAGATTGGTTTGACCACAACTTCCTGAAAATCTCACTTCCTTATCAACCCAGGACAAAGTGGAGCTATGAGACAGTGGCAGGACACTTTTGCAGTGAAGACTAGAGAAATGGGCATAACAGATCCGTGGACACTTCTGGAGGATGATGCCCTGCAGGTGCAGGCCTGCAGGCCTGGCTGGAAGGAGTTTGTGCAGCGCCGTGCTCTTGGGAGGTAGGGCTGCTGACAGTCCCTGTTGCAGGGGGATCAGGGTTGATGGGTTGCCATGTGGACCTTTGCCTTTTTCAAAATTTGCTTGTAGGAAACAGGTTTTTCAGCAAAACAGGGAGTTTGGAGGTGAGTGAGGCTGTGAAGGGTTTCTTCATTTTTGTTTGAATCTCGGTGGGTTATTGCCAAACTGGAAAACATGATATTTGGAGGGGAGAATAGATCAGCAGGACCAAAGGGCAGCTGCTATTTGGCCAGAATTTCTCCATGTCTTTGTTAAGATGAAAAGAGCTCCTTCATCAAGTAGGGGGGCTTATACCTCACTAGAATCTTCTGGGTTTGCACTCACAGGGTAAGGAGAGGGAGAACCACTGTGTTCTGGGACATGGAGTGATGTCTCAGCAGCCCCTGTACCTGCACCGGGCTGCAGGGCCTTGGGCAGAGGGAGGCTGTGGCTCTGCATTGCTCATGAGAAGCCCCCCAAACATTTCCACCCTGGGCATTGTTCAGACACCCTGCCTGGGTGGCAGCAAATGGAGACTTTGGTTGCCAGTCCCCATGCAGATTGTGCAAGATGAAGAGCTGTGGGTTGCACACCTTTTGGCTCCTCAAGATATCTCTTCACCTGCCCTGCACCCTCCACCCACACCTTCCTTCTGTTTTGCTTTTATTGTCTTACCCAGTCTCGGGCATGATGCTGGCTTTCCGCTGAGCTGTGATGAGCCAGCATGGGTGAGGGGCTGGAGTCCCAAACAGGGACCTGATGTTTCTCACCCCAAGGGCCTCTGCTTTTGGCGGTGGGGCCAGGATCCCAAAAGACAGCCTGGCTTCTGAAATCTTTAATGCTGGGGCCAGCCCTCAGCTCACATCTGTGGTGAACTTCCCAGGCTGGCATCATGCTGTTAGGGGGAGGACAATTTGGTGTAAAGCTTGCATGAGTGTAGTTAGTCCATAGTCTGTGTTAACCCTCATCCCTACTGACTGTGCTGAAAGCTCAGCATGGGGCACCTGGGATGAGCTGGTCTCCTCTTTGCCCTGGCAGGTTTCAGTGCTCCCAGTGCTTTCACAAGTGGTCTTCTGCCAAAGTGCACATCCTGTTCCACGTGTACCACTGCCACGGCTGGGGCACCGTGTGGATGCGAATCTTTCACCAGAAGTGCAGGCGCTGCCCTAACTCCCGGCTGGAGGATCCTGAGTTCAGCCTGGACACTGTGGAGACAATTCTGCACAACCTGGTGATAAAGATCCTCCAGTATTTCTACAAGAAGCCTGTCCAGCCCTCTGACCTCCTGGAAGTCGTGGTGGATGCACTGGTGACAGGGCCACACGACCGTGCCCACTGCGAGGCCTGTGAGCTTGGCATTTGTAACAGGTCACAGAAGGCCCTGGCACTGGATGCCTGGAAGCCCTTGACGGATGAGAACAAGGCCAGGATGCACAGCAGTGAGCCATGGCTGGCCTGGACATCAAATGTCTGGAAGTCCTTAACAAATACGGGGGAGGCCGGAACCCATCACACGGAGTCATGGTGGTCCCGGGGATCAGATGTCTCCGAGCCCTTGATTGGTGTGGGCAAGGCCAGGACCCATCACACTAAGCTGCAGCCAGCCCCAGCACGGGTTTCCTGGAATACATACCAATCCTGGACCTCTCAGACCCTGAAACACCAGGGCTTAAGACCCCGTGAAGCCTCGACTCACCACCCCTCACCCTCCAACAGCAACTTCTCCTGGAAATGGTGCTGCTGCATCGGCAGCTCCTTAGTCTGTGTTTCAGTCATCATCTTCCTTGTGTTTTATTTGACCAAGATGTAGAGGGACCTGGGGATCACAAAGAGGAGCTGGGGCGATGTGATGAACTGCCTGGAAACTTGGAGACCCAAGGTCAGCCCTTGCTCTTGGTTCAGCAAGCTCCCCAGCTCCTGGTGGCATGGGATCGTACTGGGATTCCTCATCCAGGCACCTTGTCCAACAATCTCTGGAAGAGTCATGGGTCTGATGGATTCTTATGGGACATATTCTGTGTGAGGATGAATATCCCAGCTCCCCCATGCACAGGATGAGGTTTCTTACTTGCAAGAATAAAACAACCCCCTTCTCCTCAGCCCAGGAATGCACTTGTGCTTTTTAATGTCTCAAAAGCCTTTTCTACATGTGTGTGGGCATTGTGGAGGGAAGCTTGGGGCTGTTTTTATCTCCCAGCAGTGCTGTGCTTCCAGAGAGGCACATGCCCAGTCTGCCCTGCCTTTGGCCAGCTGTCTGGGTACCCTGCAGGGGGAGCAGAGAGTGCCAAACTTGGCTAGTGCAAGAAGACTGTGGCAGCAAGTCCAAAGTATTCCCCAGTTATGCAGAAATTGCAAATATTGGGCTGCAGGGTCAGGGCAAAGGGGAAGATGCAGACTCTTGCCTTCTGCTACTTCACCCTTCAGGGCTTTAGGGACCTGGTGGGTGTCTTAAGGTTGGGAGGAAACGTGCTGTCCCCATGACTCTTACCTTCCCTGCAGGGCAGCTGGGCTCCTGCAAAACTTACCCATGGACACAGCATGTCCTGTGACCACAGCTGATTTCAGCTGGGATGGAGATAATTTTCCTCTTTGTAGCTGTTACTACACTGGGGATTAATAGTGTTGATAGCACACTGATGTTTTAGTAGGTTCAAGTAGTGCTTACTCTAAGTCAAAAACTTTTCCGTTTCCTGTGCTCTGCCACTGGAGCAGGTGTACAAGGAGCTGGGAGGGAGCAGGGCCAGCACAGCTGACCAGAACTGGCCCAAGGGACTTTGCACAGATCATCCTGCTCAGTGGATAAACTGGAGGAGTTGGCCAGGATGGGCTGATTGCTCTGGGGGATGGGCTGGACATCGGTCAGAGGGTGGTAAACAACTGCAGTGTGTGTCTCTTGTCTTTGTTATGTCTCTCTCTTTATCTCTCTGTTCATGATTGTTATTATTATTAATTATTATTCATATTTACTTTGTTCCAATTATTGAACTGTTCTTATCTCAACTCACAGACTTTACCCTTTTCCAATTCTCCTCCCATGCTACTGGGGCAGGGTGGTTTGACTGAGTGGGAGGCTGTGGTGTACTTAGTTACTGGCTGAGCTTAAGCCACAGCAACTTCAATAGACTTTTGAAATAGCCTGTAGCCTGTGCATCACAAGCCTCAAACACAACCATGGTTACCAAGGTCTGTCTTCTCTGGGATCCTGGGGTGAGAAAGAGGTGTTGGGGGGGGCATGGTGTGCCCTGTGAGAGAGAGCATTGTGAGGGCTGGCTGTCACTTGGGAGTGCACTGGGGGGTGCACTGGGGACACCAGGGATGCCATGGGAAATCCATGTCCACGGGGCACAGGAGAATCAGGAGATGCAGCCATTCCCTGGGGAAGCGAGGTGCCAGTGACAAGCACGCAGTCACCAGCTCGCTGCTGAGCCCTGGACGAGTTTAGGAGCAATTTAAGAGGCAGCACCCCTTGGTGTGCTAGCACCATTCTCATCACAGCTTTTGTTTTCATTTGATACCTCTCACAGAGAGGCTGGGTAGTGATCCTGGCTGCTGAATGACTTCTATTAACTCCATCAACTTCCTGGCTTACTCTGCTTCAGTGGCCCCAGGCACCTGCTGTGCTAGGATGCTGATCGCTGGGGCTAAGTGGGGTTTCTAACACTTTCATGGCTCCCTCTTCTTTGCTGTTTCATCTGTGATTCATTCATTGCCTGTGTGGTGGAGGGGCTGAAACACAGACACCAGGGGACATGCTGCTTACCTGAGTAGCAAGAGCTGAATTGAACAACCCCCAAACAACTTCGGGTACTGAAATTGATTTTAGGCCTGTCTGTCAAATTAGTCCAACAAGGAGAAGACCTGCAGAACCACTGAAGCAGCTGAAACAGTCCTCTCCTGGCTTTGCAAATGATTTGATGCTGAAGATGGGTATGATATCAAAGATTTCGTGGCTGAATTAGTGGAAGAATGATAGGCTGAAGGAAAAAAAAAATAACCAAACTCAGTGTGGCTCACACAGCATCAATGCCTGGCCGTGCAGATTCCCAGTTGCTGTCCTGTCCCCCCTGCTGTATCTTGAAGGGTCCTTTATGTTGCTTTTTCTGCTGCTGTAAGTTTCGTCTTTATTCTCAGCTAGACAACCTGCAGGCTATTGGTTAAAAAAAAAAAAAGAATAAACAAGAAAACGCTGTGTGGTCCAGACGCCGTGTGGATTTGGTTTCGTAAGTTCTCTAACCTGCTTTTATGCCACCAGCCCTTCTCTTCACCAGCGCCTTCTCTCCGCAGCCTCAGCAGCCCTGGCCGCGGAGCCACCAGATGGAGCTGCAGGTCTCCGGCACCGCACTGGGAACCACTGGGACCAGTGACCCGCCAGCCCTGGGACGGGACAGCAGCCCCCACGAGGGGGATGCCTGTGACTAGCTTCTCCTTGCTGCTGCCTTCTTGCCTGCCTGTGTCCTCACCCAGTGCAAGCATGTCCCCTCCCTCATGCAGCCCCTTCATCTCCTCCCCAGTACTCAGAGCCACCTGGGCATGCATGAGCTTCTCAGCCATGGCCTCATTTTTGGGGTCCTTTCCAGGATACCCCTTTCCAACACGCAGTTGTGCCTGTTACTAGTTTCTTAGCAAACTGCCTTCAAAAGTTTGCTTTCTGTGGCTCCTGGCACTTTTGGGGTTCAGAGCAAGCACTCCTGGCCTGGCCAGGCCCCCATCTGTCACGGGAGCAGCGAGCCCATCCCAGGGGATGAAGGAAGAAGGATGCTCTCTCTGTGGGTTCTGTGCAGGTCCTGTGTGTCCCCACAGTCTGTTTGAGACTGGGCTCTGCTACAGCCAGCTCTCATCTCACTCGCAGCCAGGGACAGCAAAACTTCACCCAGGGATGTTTTGCTGGCTTTTCACCACAGCCAGACTGATAAATAGCTGTCTCCACGCCCGTCTCCCTGGAGAGAAGCTCTCACCACTCTGGCAGGTTGCGAGGTGCCAGAAATGCAAAGCCCATTGTTGTTCTCACTTTTCTCCTCGGCTGCCCGTTCCCAGCCGCTGCTGCAGCCACCGCGGTGCCCGTGGGTCACCCGGGGCTGGCACTCGGCAGCTCCGTGAGCGGGGGGCGAGGGCTGCTCCGGGTCCGGGATTTCCCGGCAAAGCTATTGACGGGAGGCGGGGGAGAGTCTGTGCTCGCCAGTGATCTGTTAAAGGGCAGCGATATTTTATCATGTGCCCCAGGGCTGTCTAGGCTCAGATCCTGCAGATGATGGTTTAATGCTCAGGGGACCAGGCCTTTATTTTGCTTCTCTCTCCTCTCCTTTACTCCCATGATGTCTCTGGAAGGGTTAGCAGACCCGTGAGCCAGCCAGACCCACCGCCCTCCTCCCTGTCATCAACACAGAGGAGCCTGGTGCTGTTTTTCTGTTCTGTGCCATAGGAAAATAGGGATCAATAACCCAGATCCCAGCCCTGGATACAGGCATGGGAGGAAACAGCTCCCATTATTTTAAGCTCTCTCCAGACTGGAGATTCTCACAGTCTCTGATGCAGAGATGTCCAGCAGAGTTTTGTCCCTGCCTCAGCTCACATCTGAGCTCACTGCAGGTCCTCTGCTGTGAGGACATGCTCTCTCAGTCCAACAACTAGTGGGAATAGGCTGATTTTTCGCACACTTTTTAAAGCAAAAGTCATATACCTCATATTTTTTTTCCTCATGTCAATTGAACTCAGACTTAATTGCTATTCTCAGCAAACAGGTTGCTGCCCTCTGCTCCTGCCACTACCCCCATCTCCAGTGATGTGCTCAGGCTATAAATAATTGAAGGCAGGATCTCCTCTGTCGCCCTTCTTTTGTGATTTGTATTCAGGGGCTGCTCAGGGTCTGTCTCTGCCCAAGAAGCTGTACAGGCCAAGGCTGAGCAGCTGTCAGAGTGAGGGATGGTGTGAAGATTCTCCTGGGAGTGCAGGCGTGCATGGCAGACATCAGCAACCAGCCCCAACCATGTTCCTCTGGGAATAAAAGCCACAGGGCACAAGCTCACTACATATAAAAGTTTTATTTTGTTCTCAGGACGAAGACTAAGAGAACCATCCTTACCTGACATCAGGTATTTTACAGAATGTAATATATATAAAAAAAAGAAATACATATATATTAAAAAATACCTTGCAGTTACATGACATAGCCAAGAGTACAGTTCATAGTGTATCTGCAAGTTCAACCTTCCTTAGGCCTTCTGCTCCTCTACAAGTTCTACAAATGGCTTTTTGGATGATAGCAAAATGTCAGAGTGTCTCATCCACTCTTCGCTTCTTCCTTTCATGGAAAAACCAAAGCAGGAGGAGGAGAAAGAGAGGCCTGAAGGAGGCTACAGGCACGCAGAGAGCACAGCAGGCAGTTTTTGCATGTTGCTTACAGCTATGCTGGCAAATGAAGGAGAAGGTCCTGCTGAAGGAAGGACAGCTCACCTGACCTTGTTCCTTGTTGGGACTTGTCTGCATGGGCCATGGAGGGAAGCTGGGGAGATATGAATACTTCTGGTGTGTTAGGTGGGTTTGAGTCTGTCTAGAAGGACTTGGACACCTGCAATAGGCCACGAGTGCCATGAACAAACACTGAACACCACTGGTAACCTGTAAATCAGCTAAATCAGTGGCCTCAAAAGCAGTGAAAAGGGACTAGGTTCTTGCAAGAATGAATAAACTGTCGTGCAGGACTAACCAGGCCCCTGAGAAAGAGATGAAAGCCAAGAAAGGGTGTTTTATATGAAATGATTCTGCTGAAAATAAGTATTGCTTAGATACAGCTGATGTGAAGCTGTCTTGTAATGGAAAACACTTTCCTTGTGAGGTCTGCTGTGGCTGGAAACCACAGAACTAATCTTGGGGTGGGACTGGAGAGGGCTTCAAGTGATAGAAGACTGGAGAAATTTTTGTGGCTGGAGGTCAGGGTGATGCTGAGTATAAACCCTGCTCTGTGTCCTTATGTTCTCTGTGGGGTACTCATCCCACAGAGGTGGGATACAGGTATCCCATTTGGGCTGGTGCTGTCTTGGCAGCCATGGCTGAAGTTTAGGGCTAAATGTGGATGTATCCTCACATCTTTGGCGCCAGGTGGACATCACCTGAGATGCTACCAGGAAAGGATGTTTATTTGCATATAAAAATAATGGCAAACTCCCAGGACCCTCTCACTACTCCTTGCACAGAAAAAGGCTTCACCAGCGTGGGGAACCTGTGAGGTGCAGGCCTGCCCACATGGGTTACCTGCACTGTCCATAGGCTCTGAAATTCTGTAGTTGCATCTTCTGACAGAGGGATCTGGCCAGAGAGTCCTGGGGGTGGGGACAATTCCCTGTACACAGCACAAAGCTTTGGTGTCAGGGAAACGCTGCCTCAATTGCTGTGCCTTTTTCCAGGCTTGGCGGGAAGTTCCCTGGAGTGTGGGTGAGGTTTGCAGATGGGCAGCACATGCAGAGGACACCAGCTGAGATCTTGTCCTTCGCCCCCTCCTTCCAGCTCCCTAGCAAGCATTTCCTAAGAATGCAAGCGAAGGGATGCGGGACCAAGCGAAACAAATGACCTGGCAGGGGCTTGGCATGCGCGGAGTATCGTGGCTATTGCTTGCGAAAGACCCGAGTCTGGAGCACATTAAACAATAACAACAAGAAGAAAGGGAGCCGCGGTGGCAGCAGGATGCTTAGTCACTCATCTCTCCAGCTCTGGGTCCAGAAATGTCCATCTCTCCGAGGAGCCTGTTTTCTGCTCCACCCAGTCCACGTAGTTTGAGACCTTGGTGTACACACCGTACACCTGCTTGCTGCCGCACTCCTCCGGGCCCCCCCATGAGACCAGCCCTTGGGCCACCCACCTGCGCGTTCCTGGGTCCTGGATGACGAAGGCTCCCCCGCTGTCTCCCAAACAAGTGTCCTTCCCCCCCTCGTAGTAGCCGGCGCAGAACATGTTCTCGGTCACGCTGTAGTTGCCTGAGCGCGACTCGTAGCTGGTCTTGCACTCGGCGTGCAGCACCACGGGCAGTTTGACGTACTGCAGGATGTCAGACAGGGTCCTCATGCCGGAGCTGATGATCTCGTCCACTGTGATGTTGGGGTTGGAGATCCCCCAGCC